ATTTATTGAGTCGCTGTACGTACGTCCCAAAGACCAACCATCCCAGCCTGGTCTTTTTGTTGGAATTGCGGGAAGAAGACCCAATCGGTCGTCCATATCAAGTATCAACCCTAAATCCACAAGCAACCTTTGCCGCTTGACATCACTGTCGGCTAACCACCGCCGCCGCCTCTGTCGCTGCCAGCTCTACAGCAACCTCTGACCTGTCTACCCGTGCTCTTGTCGCTGCCACCGCCTCTAACCTGTATACCCGTGCTCTTGTCGCTGCCACCGCCTCTGACTTGTCTACCCGTGCCGTGTCGTCGTCACCGCCTCTGACCTGTCTACCCGTGCTTTTGTCGCTGCCACCGCCTCTGACCTGTCTACCCGTGCTTTTGTCGCTGCCACCGCCTCTGACTTGTCTACCCGTGCTTTTGTCGCTGCCATCGCCTCTGACCTGTCTACCCGTGCTGTTGTCGCTGCCACCGCCTCTGACCTGTCTAACCGTGCTCTTGTCGCTGCCACCGCCTCTGACCTGTCTACCCGTGCTTTTGTCGCTGCCACCGCCTCTGACCTGTCTACCCGTGCCGTGTCGTCGTCACCGCCTCTGACCTGTCTACCCGTGCCGTGTCGTCGTCACCGCCTCTGACCTGTCTACCCGTGCTTTTGTCGCTGCCACCGCCTCTGACCTGTCTACCCGTGCCGTGTCGTCGTCACCGCCTCTGACCTGTCTACCCGTGCTTTTGTCGCTGCCACCGCCTCTGACCTGTCTACCCGTGCTTTTGTCGCTGCCACCGCCTCTGACTTGTCTACCCGTGCTTTTGTCGCTGCCATCGCCTCTGACCTGTCTACCCGTGCTGTTGTCGCTGCCACCGCCTCTGACCTGTCTAACCGTGCTCTTGTCGCTGCCACCGCCTCTGACCTGTCTACCCGTGCTTTTGTCGCTGCCACCGCCTCTGACCTGTCTACCCGTGCCGTGTCGTCGTCACCGCCTCTGACCTGTCTACCCGTGCTTTTGTCGCTGCCACCGCCTCTGACCTGTCTACCCGTGCCGTGTCGTCGTCACCGCCTCTGACCTGTCTACCCGTGCTTTTGTCGCTGCCACCGCCTCTGACCTGTCTACCCGTGCTTTTGTCGCTGCCACCGCCTCTGACCTGTCTACCCGTGCTTTTGTCGCTGCCACCGCCTCTGACCTGTCTACCCGTGCCGTGTCGTCGTCACCGCCTCTGACCTGTCTACCCGTGCTGCTGACGCTGCCCGTGTCGACGGCAATTAGCCCGATCAGGCCGCCTGAATAAGTAAACGGCATTGTGTGTGTGTGTATCCCGTCCTCCGGGAGCAGTGTGCGCCAGGGCAGGAGAGACGCGACGATTAGAAGAGGCACGACGGCGGGAGGGACGTGAGGGACGCGACGATTAGAAGAGGCACGACGGTGGGAGAGAGATGCGAATGTTAGAGAGATGCGGATGTGAGAAAATCGCGATGGCTAGAGGAGGTTGAGCGCGAGCGTGGCGAGGGGAGAAATAAGACGGCGATGGGAGAAATACGAGTACACACGTAAAGATGTGACGGAGAAATGCAGAATTGCAGATTTGAAAGTGAAGGCGGCATACGAGAACTATTACTCGTACACGTAGAACTATTTCACTTCAACATGCAAGCACGAAAGGTAAATATGTTTGCGAGAGCGAAAGATATGTACTCGTATGTAAATGCTGTCAGCCTGTCAGTACCCAGACAGAATGAAGTACTTAGGCATACATAAGTATGATCTAAAGGTGTCATATTTATGTTTCCCAAATCATTTTCATTGGTAGGATATGAATACCTATTCATCGTTACATCAATAAAGCTCATTAAATACTGAGCATCATCAACAAAACTTCATTTCCCGAATAACTTTGCATCCTGCGGTGCCGCTACCAACAGTTGTCATGGCGGCCTTCTATAAGCGACGCGCTGAGGGAATTCGCATTGCTTAGAGAAACACCTACCAGAGTATAAGAGCTGAGAGAAGGGACAGAACGCTCAGTCGACGGGCGCGGTGGGCGAGCAGCAGATATGAGGCACGAGCTGGGACCGGCGTGAGGGGACAGAACAGAGGAGGCAGGCGGTGATAGATGACCGGACTTATCCTCCTATCACCAGCCGGTATGGGTGTGATCGGTACCGGCTGCGCTCCCACCTGGGACCGGTAACACCTCCGTAGGGTTGGAGAGGGGGGATTGCACCGCCACAGGGTTAGGGGGAGGGAGGCCGGTATCACCTCCACATGGGGCCATGGAGGGGGGCTGGGGAGACCGGTATCGCTTCCACAGGGCTAGTGAGGTCAGTATCACCGCCACAGGGTTAGTGAGATATCACCTGCACACTGCACAGGGTTAGGGGAGGGAGGCCGGTATCGCCTCTACAGGGTTAGGGATGCTATTATAGACCATTGCATAAAAGTGAATATTAAAACTTCAGGGCGGCATTTGCGAAGTTTGTAATGCATTTGCCGTTGTGCACCAATACTTCATGTATAAGAATAAAAAGCGGTATGCTTTCATTAATATATATTGATACGGTTTTCCGTGAGAAGAAACTTAAAGAAATCCAGTGTGTGGGATAATATTGTTCAATAAATTTAGCCAAAAATGTCGGCATATAAATATTAGTGTTAATATGGCAGCGATTGATAATGCTTGGTAAACGGAAGCTAATGAAGATACATTCGATACATCATTTTTAGCGCCGTGGGTAATAACATACCACATCCAAATCCGGCCTCGGAGTTATGCAATGCATATTGCCAGCATATGTATGTTTATCTCTTATGAATGCAGGACATCACTGCAACGCCTGGCATTTTATCTGAGTAACCAAAAAGGGCATTGCTCCACGATTATGTAATAGCATTGTGATTGCTCCTCCTGTTCAGTCGACTCTTCCCTCGAAGTTCGTTCAAGGTTTACTGTAATATTGACTCCCGGATGATTCGGAACTCCGTTCCATGCTTCTATCCTCAGGATACTGAAATCCTTCTCCTCCACACCGCCACCCCCTTCCGGGCTGGACAGGCAACTTTATCTCATGCGGGCTGCTCCCTTGGAGCGGCACCGCTGCTCCCGGGGGAGCGCACCCCGTAGCCGGGTGCAGTGAGTGCCTTGGGGCTGCAGGCCGCCTGTCTTCGGACGGGCTCAGCCCCGGCGACTCACTAGGATGCCTGCCCAGACCAATGTCTCCCCCTATATCCTATTATCCTCCCGGCTCTGAAATGGTCTTACTGGACCGAAAGGGCCTAACCCAACAAAAATTAAATTTGATTCGGAATCTTCGCGGTATCGGAAGCTGTTCAGGCCCCATCCAATCAACGGATGAACATATTGCAACCTCCGATCGCATGGCGTCGTGGACAGCATTGGTGAATTCTGGTCAGCGCTGAACTTCTCGTCGCTGAGCGGTTGCTTGTGAGCAAGTGAAAGGCATTGCCAGGGTTTCTTTAAATAAGATAGGTATCACGGCAAGTCTTTCTTCGATGAACGTTGTTGGGGGTAAACTTACTGCGAACTGAATCCTCAGAGTGACCTAAGAACTGACCAATAAGTGGGAAACGGAACAACAGGTGCATTTAATATCCATATTTTTCATTTCGATGACACTGGGATCTTTATTACGCCTGTGCCTTTGCATTTCTTTCACTTACGTAATGCTTTATGATTTGTTCACTGTGCCCCCTCGACCAAACGCTTGGCAATCATTTCTGCCTTACGTAATCGCATTTCATTCTCACTCCACTACCACACTTTCTTCTGACTCCCTACTCCACAGTCCACTCCCACGCTCTGTCTCCATCCATTCCCGCCCCTGCTTCACAGCCCCAGTCTCAAATCACCGCGTAAGTGTTTAGTGAAGTGTGACGTCAGAAATAAAACACCATGCCATTTGAAAATCTGCGACGTCACGACCGAACCCTTATTTACGATGCGTCAGAGGGGCCAGCGCCGGTTCCGCGTCGTTACCCCGGCGTGCGTCCATTGATTTTTCTTGTCTGAACGCCCGCTCATAGAGTCTGGCCGCGCCACACCCGCAGATGTCAAATGCCTTTAAATCATGCGCGGGACCGTATGAACGGCAGTGGCGCGAACAAAGGCTCCGGCAGCGTCCCACGATGAAAAGGCAGCTGCCGCCGATCGGCGCAGCGCGAGGGCATTGTCGGAGGCGACTGGCTCCGTTATTCTGTGAAAATCGCCGCCCTCTGCGAGATACGGCCGGCTATAAAGCGCCGTCCAAAACCTATCATCACGATCGGCTGAGTGTCAGCTCTCCCTTTCAAGAGTATCCCGTCACCCACACCTGCCGAAGCCCGGAAGCTGAGCAGGATCTCTCTGTCGATCCCGCTATTGTGACTCAGGATGGCCGGAAAGTCCGCCAGCAGCTGCCCTGACTCGGTGACTCGGGGGTGCGACTCTCAGTTGTCGCCTCACCTCGACAGTGCCCGGACCCGTGTCCTCGCCTCCGTCACCGCTGCCGCCATGAGGAGTCCCACGGCGCCGCCGCTGGCTCTTCTGACGCTGACCTGCGCTGTGCTGGGCGCTCAGGCCAGTGTGGTTGTGTTCCGCGAGAGTGGAGGAGTGCGCTGCGGGACAGGTCACTCCTGTGTATCAGCCCTCGCCTGTCCGGAGATCATCTCTGTCCGCCAGCTGGTGGGGAGGCCCATCTGTGGGTTTAGCGGTCGAATCCCCTTCATCTGCTGCAGGCTGAGGTCGGGTGGCAACGGAACGTCGGGAGACGCGACCTCAGATGAACGGCTGGCTTCCAGTTCTTTAGTCTCTGAAGGACAGCGGTCACCTCCGGATGCTGCTGGGCAACGTTCACCTCTAGCTCCTGATGGTCAGCGGTTGCCAGCACTCCAAGCGGACTCTGACGAACAGCTGAGGCCACCACCGACAGCTGCTGATGGAGCATCTTCATCAGGCCCATCCGATGGATCAAATGATTTGCCGTCCATCAGCTCATCGAAGCTGTCGACTTCAGGTAGAATGAACATCAATGAAGAGGAATTTGACGACCGCGAGCCGACGGCAATGCAAGAAAAATCAGCTCCTCAAGATCCACCCGAAGGTTTCAACTCAGTTCAGACCATCGGACCACAACAAGACCAAGAACCGCCACTGGGGCCGTTCGCTGAAAAGAATGCGTCCACTGAACCGGAGGACGAGGAGGACGCTGAGTGGGACGAAGGGTCGTGTGGACTGGTGTGCACAGCCTCACCTCTGCAGCGGCAACGGAGGGAGATTTCCACTGCTCCACTCCAGCCTGTGAAGGAGGTGATCCCTCCACCGGAAACCGACCGATTTCGGACCGAGGTGGTGCAGGGCAGGGACGTGGACCAGCCCGGTCGCTGGCCCTGGATGGCCGCTGTGGGTCGACAGAGGCCCGGCGACCCCACTCCGACCTGGCTGTGCGGTGGGGCGCTGCTGAGTGCCCGCTGGGTGATCACCGCCGCCCACTGTGTACCCACGGACGAGGTTGCCTCTCTGAGGGTCAGGGTTGGAGAGCTGCGTCTGTCAGCTCCAGCGGCGGTGGAGCGAGGCGTGACGCGCGTGCTGCGTCACCCGGATCAGACAGCCGCGCTGCACGACTTGGCGCTGCTGCGCCTGGATCGCCCCGTCCGCCACTCGGATACTGTGCTTGCCGTGTGTCTGCCGTCTCCCGGAGCGGACTTCAGCGGCTTACCGGTCACCCTCACCGGCTGGGGTCGACTCAGCTTCGGCGGCGCCACGGCCGACGTCCTGCAGGAGGCTCAGCTGCGGGTCACCGACACCACCCAGTGTGAGGCCGCCTACAGTCGCCTGGCCGGCTTCTCCTACAGTTTTCCCGGCGGTTTCAGCGGCTCGGTGCTGTGCGCAGGGGACGGGCCGACGGGTGGAGAGGATGCCTGTCAGGGCGACTCGGGAGGTCCGCTTGTGTACCGCGCCGCTGCCGCCACAGGAGGGGAGGCGCGCTTCATGCTGGTGGGGGTGGTATCCACGGGAATTGGGTGTGGTAATCCGCACTTCCCCGGCCTCTACACCAGCGTGGCCAGTTACGTCCCGTGGATACGAGCCATCGTGTTCGGAGAAGAAGCTGTAGAAAAGTAAGTGATAAATAGACAGTGTAGGAAAAATGCAACAGAACGGTGAGAATCCGTCTTCGTTTGTGATTCAACCGCAGCGAGCAATCGTCGTTTGTGAATGCGCCCGTAGTAAATCATATCCGTATTCAAGATTTTCATTTGAGTTTATGGACTTATTTTTGCATATAAATGCATAGGTAGCCTGGATAATTAAGCCATAAGCGATGAGCTATTATTAGGAACATTATCGATTATCGATGCAGTTGCAGCATGAGCACTTACTTTCAACCTGAACAAAGTTGGCATTTACTAAAAAAAGAAAGATTTTATTTGCCACATATGCTGTTGAATCGGACTTTATTAGCAAAAGTTCGTTTTTCATAAACACGTCATTACTCATTCTTTCCACGCGCAACACCAAATTGACCTGGCGTTCCAAAAATAACGAGGGCAGCATCCAGAATAAAAATGTCGCTTCGCTGTCCCGACACTTCCCTCTTTAATGAAACTCATCACTCCGAACCCTCCGTCCCCCGCATCATCAATCAAAGCCAATATGGTGCTGTCGTGGGATGCGATCTGACGAAGGGCGCGGCCGACCGTCCCAGCAGTCGTTAGAATTCTCGCCAGCTTCTCGGAGAAGCTAACTGACGGAGGTTACAGCCGGCGAGGGGCGCCGGGCCGCCGCCGGAGGCAGGGGGAGCCGCCCCTCGCCGCAGCGGAGGGGAGCGCTGACACCGTGTCCATCTCCGATCCGGTGATCGCCAAAGCCACGGCCGCCGCCCCGCAGTTGATCCAGCTAATGCCCACTGATGCGAGGGGAGGCCGAAATGACGCCTGTGAGGAAGACGGATGCCAAACATACTTGTGTGTGTTTCCTGAGCGTTATCCCAAAAGTCGTTTAGCCTGTCAGCGCGAAAATGCCCTCGATTTGTCAGCAGTTCAATATTCGTATTTGGTCGGCGATATGTATTCAACACAGGCGAACGGGGTGTGGTGCGAACTGCGAGGTCCCTGCTCGGCGCGCCGGGCTGAGCAGGTTCGTAAGACGGCCTCGAGTGCCGGCTCGGGGCACCGAGAGGCAGCCTGCACCGAGGCAGTACTAGGAAGGCAAGGGGACGAACGGGGCGAGGGCGGGGAACGGATGTAAATTTCCGTGTTGTGAGGCTTTTCATCAGCGTCTGCTGTCTACATTGGCATGCATGACAAAGCTCGATTGACGTAGAAGCATGGAAACAATGTGAAGATAAGAGCTTGCCTATCTAAACGTATGCATGGTAGGTATTGACATCAAAAACTTTAATTCACGACATAGGAATGAATTATGTTTTTAATGAACTATGATAATGAACTATGTCGTGATTACAGTTGTTTTTTTATGTCATTGCCATCAATAACGATAACGATCGACGGCATTCTAAGATAATTTCCTCGCAGCGAAAGTGTTTTAGTTGCGATAGCTATATGTGAGGACTGAGGATACACAGGCCACAACTTCAACCCAACGAGTAAACGAGTTGAAGAGCGCGTTGATTTCCGTCGAATACAAAAGCGCTAAACTCGCGGAAGAAGAAGTTCGTGGGCGGCACCATAAAGCCTCTAAATACGTTTCGCGCCGTAGTTAGGTTATCGTTCCCGAGGGAAGAAAACAGGTTGGTTTCGGCAGTGCAGTAGTTCAGCGAGCACTGCCCAGCAAAAACAGACGCCTCGAGCGCTGTATACCGGCGCTGATCAAAGGCGGACTGTGCGTGCGGCATGTTATGGGCGTGCATGATGCGTGACAGTTACAAGCTCAGCGACACTTTGGGCTGACTTGCAGGACAGACCTACATACACGTCCAGAAGAAGTGTGGTTATCCGTTAAATAAAGCAGATAGATAAAGCATTGAGAAGAGTAGTAGAATAATGGCTCTTGCTAATGCAGCAGATCATATGTCTGTTGGCATTGCTTTGGGAAACTTCGTGTAACATCGGCTACTTTGTGACATATAATATATCTAAGCCACACCCATATAAGGCGACGACCGACTCTCATAAAGCCCAGAACGTGAGCAAATGCCTACAACAGCCCACAGAAGTATGAGCTGCTCAGTATGAGCTGCAAGGCAACGTTTCGAACTACAAATGATGAACACTCTGACGTCATAATCTCTGGGGACACTGAGAAGCACTAACAGAGTCTGAACCGCTCTCGATGGACTCAGCCGTTTGGATTACCTCGGAGAATCCTCCGAACTCCTCCGAGGAAGGATCCTCTGAGGACCACAGAAGACGTGCAACTCCTCACTTCCGTCTGTCCAGGGACCGGTCCTCCTTCCGGGAGAGTATCCGGAGCCAGCCGTGAATCCGGACACGGTATCATCAATCCCGGATTAGCCGGGCGGCATGACGGAGACTCCGGACAGTTATGGAGCGCAGGGGGATTGTAAGTTAGTAAATTACACACCGCGCGGTCGGTGGTCGCTCATCGCTGGCCGGTGGGCAGACGTGCCGATCAGGTTAGAAAGTCCAGCTGCCGCCCGCGTCACCGTTGCTCTCCCCGTGAATAGAGGGAGCTAGTGATGACGAACGGGTGATGGGATGTGACAAGTGTGACAGTGGCTCTTTGTGACGACTGTAGGCGACTGAAACGCCCCGCCCAGCCAAACGAAACAGGATTTATTCACTGTTTCATCCTCAAGTCCCCACACGTGCCCCCATACCTAACGGTATTGAGTTTATCTGCTTGAAGCCTTGGCCCAAGTCCTTATATACCTACCGGCCTCAGAGTGGCACAAGTCATAACTAAGTGGTCATCTGACACCGTAGCACATTACTAGGGACCGGTAGATAGCATGAATTTGAGAAGCAAGTCGAGCTTCCCTCATCCTGTCGGTGTTATTTGTACTTCATTCGGGAGAGGGCCAATGACTGCAAAACGCGGGGTTTGCTCCCAAAAAAGAAAGGTTCGAGGATGCAAGGCCACACTGATTATGGTCTGATCCTCTCTATCCTGCCCTTCGTTACAGTCAGATACTATTTGGGTAACGGCGTAGCGCAAATGGAAAAGCCACTGCTGACGGAATAACTTAACCCGCGCCGTGCTGGGGGGGGGGGCGTTTTTACGCCCCCCCCTCAGGTTTTTCGCGAATATCTCAAAAACGGCGGCGCGCAGCGCCGCCGTTTTTGGTACACGTGTTCCTACATCATTTCCGCATATGTTGTGAAAATTTCAGACCTAGGCCGTTCAAGGTCAGGTCACCAGGTCACGTCAAGTGACCTTACCTCAGAAAAAGTTCAAAGGCTCGCTATAGCTACACCGACTGAACGATCACTTTGAAACTTTCAGCGATTGATATGAGTAACAGTATGTATAAAATGTATATCTCGGATTTTTGATATCTGTGACCTAAGGTCAGGTCAATTTTGCGACCTCTCCATTATAAGTCAATGGGAGAAAATTGAAATGCGCCTCTTTTGGACGAATATCGTTCAAAACGCTCTCAAACATCGGTTCATAGGTAAACATGACACACTGAATAGGAAAAATGCACCTGTGACCCCTCTGTGTGCCCCTGAGGTCATCTCAGGTCATGAACGGTCGCCAGCAGTTTTTTGGCTATAACTTTTGATAGAGACGTGCTAGAGCGGTGAAAACACGTCAGATGTGTTCAGCTCGACGATACGGATCGACTGATATGCAACATGACCCTTTTCGGTCAGGTCATGACCTTGACCTGAGGTCAAATTTTCAAAATGACCTTTCAAGGTCAACAAATAGTTCATTCGACGCGTCTCGACGAGAGGAACACGATGCTGGCAAAAGTAATGTCATGGCGCTTATGAGTCAAAAGTTATTGACGAAAAAACGTTTTTCGTAAAAACGGCTATTTTTGGAGTTTTTGCCCTCTGGAGGCTAAACCGTTGACCTGAGGTCAAATCTGAGAACATTACTCAGAAAGGTCTGTAAAAGGGCTATCGAATGCGCTTTTCCGCGGCGCTGTAGCTCTATCGGTTCCCGAGATAGCCGTTGGCAGTTTCCAAAATGTTGAAATAGTCAACATTTTACCTTTGGTGACCTCTGGTGACCTGACCTTTGACCTGACCCAAAAAATGACCGAAGTGTTTTCGTCCTTATTTTTGACGCTCTTTCGATTGCCGCTTACCGCGTGTCGCTACGTGGCCCAGGAGCCGAGTTAGACGGGGGGGCGTGAAAACGCCCCCCCCCAGCACTCGGCGGAAAGTTCAGGCCACCAGCACGGCGCGGGTTAAATTTACAGATCAGCTGAGCCGTCAAAACCGATCAGCTCATACGGAAATCTAATCCACAATCAATGCTGAAATTAATGCTAATCCGAGTCAGCCCGCAGGGGAGGCGGGAGAGAAAACGACTTAATCGCCGGCGGATTAATATTTGAGCACTCGCAGCTGGCTGACTTCCCACCAGTACAATGGCGATGTTTATTTCCATTTAAGCGGTTAGCGTATTGATTTTCGTCTCCCCATAATAGTCATCAATGCGGTACTGCGCTTATACAAACGGTGCCTTGAATGCGCCTACCCAATGCGTTAGAGTTAATTACGTTTACCGTTATCCAAAGCAAGCGTACGTAGTACGTACTAAGCTTAACTTCCAAACTATGCCACTTGTGTCCGAAACAATGCCAAGGTATGACCGGAACTAGCTTTGAATGATATATTCGCATTACTGACGTACTAATGAATGATATATTCGCATTACTGACGTACCTATCTTTATGCCATGTAAGAATAACGCTGTCAGCACAGTTCATGAGCAAATGAACTACAAGAAACAACCGGCGATGCCTGAAATGGATAGCAAATTCGAATTCAGGGCATCAAAATACCCCGAAAAGGCATACAAGTGCAAGAAGTCATTACAGGTCAACCGAGGTCACTAACCTTACCTTGACCTTAAGTAACCTTCAAAATGTCAACGGACATTGTGCCAATGTCAAATCAGCCAGTTGTGATTCTAAAACAATCCATCAGTGTGTCAGGTCAGTCGGCATTTATACCAATGTGAAGCAATCTCCAATTTAGCGTAAATCTGGCCGGAGGTTGTTCCCTTTATGACGTCATAACTCCGTGACCTGACATGACCTTGACAACAAAAAATACCAAAAGTTGCGCAAAGAATGCCCCAGAGGGTACTGAAAATTTGAGCAGGCTATCTGAAACGGTTCGGCGTGTAGCTAAGAAAAACCTCAGGGGGGGGGGGTTGCATCCCCCCCCCCTACTTGGGCGAGGGTTAATCGATGATGCTCTCTGATAATATGATAAAGCAGGCATAAAAGCAATTAGTGCAACCCTAGCTGATACCTGCTAAGAGACACACTGAACCTGATTTGACCAAATCTGCACCTAATCTGTACCAGATATGCACCAGATGTGTACCAGATGGCCGTCGTGAAAACGGCTATTAGCCGTTTTCACGACGGGCTATCCGGCGAGTGCACCTGATTGAACCTGATATGACCAAATCTGCACCTAATTTCTTTTACAGCAAATATCTTTATTTTATGAATTTATTTCAGTGTTTTAATCCATGATACTCTCTGATAATATGACAAAGCAGGCGTATAAGCAAATAGTGCAACCCTAGCTGATAGCTACTAAGAGACACACTGAACCTGATTTGACCAAATCTGCACCTGTCTGCACCAGATGTGCACCAAATGTGTACCAGATGGCCGTCGTGAAAACGGCTATTACCAACAAAACCAATCCGCTCATAATGTTGATGCAACAAACCGTGTAATGTTGAAGCATATGCTCCTAGGCTATATAGGTGGTGACAGCTCACGCCTCACATGCTTTTTAAACTTGGCCAGAAATGTGCCGTCACAACCCAGTAAATGTTCCCTCCACCAAATCGGCAAATGCTCGGCATCAGGAAGTCAAACATGACGACTTGTGGACAACATATTTTATTTAAAGACGAATTTTTACGCATCGTCAACCGCTTCTTTTCTTTATATTTGCTAGATGAAATTCAATAAATAATAAATGATTCGTGAATGTTACTAAGCAGCACACACAGAAAAAGTAATAAATAATTAGCAAGCTGAAGTCGGTCACCTAAGTAGTCACGCTTGCACCTAGGTCATCAATAAGAGCGCAGCGAGTCTTCGACATATGGACGGATTGATGGGGAGAATTACCGATCTCGACACACCGGTCACGGATCCATTGAGGCACGGTCGGTGGACTGACGTCTGAAAAATGTGGAGCAAACGGTGTCAGGCTCGGGTATCGAAGCCAGTGTGCGTTCGATGAGGAACGCAAACAAAAGTTATTGCAACCATACAACGTTAACCACTCTGCTTTAGCAACAATTATAAAAATACGAATGAAGTTAACGGTTAAACGATAGGAAGAAATGTCTGCGTTCATTGTTTAAACGAAAACCATTTTTATTTTTACGCCGATAACAAATCGTTACAACAAAAGCCAATGATGCGAGACACTAGCCTGGTAAGCTATTAATTACACTTTCTCCGGGACGGGCCACTAATCCGATAACTTGTCCCAAAATACAGAATAAAAATCCAGCCCTGGTGAGCTCGCCCAGTCTCTCGCCCAATGAGCTTTCCCAGTCTCTCTGTTATTAGTGAGCTTTCCTCATCTCACCTGGTGAGCTGTCCCAGTTCTCACCTGGTGAGTTGTCCACGCGCGTCCTGTGTATGGAAGACAATGATGTTGGACGAGCGCGAGTCTCTCTTCTCGAGCGGCGGGTGCAGGGAGACGTCGGCGGCGCCGGCCGGGCTGCTCTCGACCGGCACCTCCAGCAGCTGGCGGCTGAAGCGGCTCGGGTCGCCGCGGAACAGGTCGCTCAGAGACGAGCCGCTGGAGATGTCCGACTGGGACGAGCTGCGGCGCGATTCGGCCTGCCGGATCCGCTTGAACTGCTCCTGGAAACTGGGCTGCTCGGTGTCGGCGAGTGATGGACGCGGGCTCGAGCCGATCGAGATCGACGAGGCGTTCGATTGGTGGGACGCGGTGCGCTCCAGGGGCCGCTTGGGCAGCGGCGGGCCGGCCGGCAGGTCCAGGCTCGTCTGTGGCACGTCCAGTAGGTTGGAGCCGCGCCGCAGACCCAGCGCGCGGAACGACTGCTTCGAGTCGCGCCGGTTGCTGAGCTGCGCCCTCAGAGGCAGCTTGGGCTGGTCCATCTCGAAGGCGACGTTGTCGGAGCCGCCGCGTGGGTCACTGCTGCTGCCCTCGTCCCGACCGCGCCGCGACAGACGCCTGAGGGGTAGACGGGCTCCGTGAGAGGGGTAGGTTCGGGGTTACGGGGGAAAGCACGGGGTTCGGAAACAGTTCAAAAGAAGACAAAATGCATAACAAATACAATATACCGTAAAATAAATATGTTTACAAACGAATTTTGTATCACACGTTTCGGAACTCCATCAACCTTTTACGTCAGCGGCTTATGCCCGAAAAAAATTGTCGTTTATCAACACCGTAATACGAAGCCATAGTGCTCTAGTCAGTACGACACTGGTGGTGCCCCCTACTGACCTGATCAGTTTGGAAGTGGCCTCGAGTCCCGCAGTGATGGGCTCCTCCAGTTTGGGGATTTTCAGCGTGGGCCGCTTCCTGGACTCATCTGACTCGACGATCAGCATGTGTCGATCGTAGGGTGTTCCAAAGTCCACCTCCAGGATAGTGGAGAACGAGTGCGGGTGGAGCAGGTCCATGATGGCCGCCAGAACTCCCACGCCCGTGCAGAGGATACCTGAGGGAGGGGTTGAGAGCGTCACACCACACCCATACACAGTATACCTGACAGAGCGAGAACGCTACACCCACTCCCGTACAGAGAATCCATGGCGGAACATATAGCCAGATCGCAAGGCACACACTCAAACACTCGCTCGATTTATCGTTGACAGTGTGGGGGTCGTCGCATCCACACACACGCACACACAGATAGATGGCTAGATCTCATAGATCTCAGAATAGATCTCCCACCCTCACCTGCCAGCAGCACCAGGTAGAACTGCCAGCCGAGGCTGATCCTCAGCACGGCGTCCTCCAGACGAATGGCCATCAGGTGACTGGGTTTGAGCGTGCTGTAGAGCGCGCAGGCCACGCACATGAGCGCTCCCGTCACCACCATCATGTAGGCGCCGTAGCGGGGCACCGTCAGCAGCATCAGGTTCATCAGCAGCCAGCTGGCGAACGACGTCCTGCGGCCAGACGGTGAGTCAGCGGTGGAGTCGTCAGATGTGGAACCGGAATGGGGCTCCATCAGGAAGGTACCAGCGGTGGCTCGGTTCGGTGTGGTATGCTACGACACAAGTTAGATCAAGAAGACACTGTGCCTCAGATCAGGTCGAGCAGAGGTCAGTGACCAGTATGCACTGTGTTATGGGTCAGGTCTAGCAGAGAAGAGGTTAGTCGGACACTCCCTAGCAGGTCAGGTCGAGCACAGGTCAGATGCCACACAGCGTCACACGTTAGGTCGAGCAGTCCTCAGGAACGCTCTGTGACTGTGTTACGAGTAAGGTCAGGGGTTACACAATACCACAGTTCGGAATGAAAAAGAGGTCATGGCAAGGTGCTCTGTGTCACCTGCGTAACCTGTGTAACCTGGCCTGTGTCAGGTTCAGGCCAAACAGAGGTCAGGACCCAGGAGTCAGAGGTCACGCTCACCAGATAACGATGCTGGTGTAGTAGCCGGCCGTGCGCAGCTTGGGACCCCAGTCGAAACCCTCCGAGTTGGCGCTCAGGTGCTCGGCCACCGTCAGAATCGGGTACGGCAGACCTGCAGAGATGTAGGGAAAGGAGAACAGACCCGGTTCAGTGGAGCTACTTAGGAGTGTGGACAACGTGCAACGACCACTTTATAGGAATGAAGATTATAACTGATAAAAAAGGCTGCTTTTGTTGAAACGAGTCCGACGATCATACACTCATTGGCTCATACCTACTGGAAATGTTGGATATCCGTTTAGTGATCGCTAAGAACAACTGACTTAAATATATTACCTACCTAAGAAATGTCAATTATTTATACACCTGTCCAGCAAACAGCAGTCTGGTCGGTAGGTAGTCATGTTCCCCGCATTAACCGACATTTTGCTAGTCTCTAACCTTTCACGAGAGCCGCTCGATACTCCTCCCTCATCTGTGTGGGCCGATTCCAGCGGAATCGCTCGTTGAAAGCCACGTCGACATTCGGACCAGCCGACGGCGCCGCTGCAAGGTCAGGTCAGGTCGGGTCAATGGGTAGTGTGATTATCGGGAGAAACGAGAGTCGGTTTGTTCGTTTTAGGTACTGGTGATATTACAGGTCAGAGAGCTCAAAAACAGTTCGATGGCTCACATTATTCTTGCTCCCACTCATCCCTCAACACGAGCCGCATTTCGAGACAGTTGTCAACTGCGGACTGTCGAGTCATGGTTAAGTGCCATGTGACTGACCTCGAGCTCTCATAGTTTCTCACCGTTCATCGTGATGTTGACATGGTTGAGCCCGATGTGCGCTCCGAGGTTGGCCTGCATGCTCTCAGCGGAGAAGGCCCGGTAAAACGTGTCGATGTCCACCGAACCAGACTGCCAGTCCGAGCCGGTGGCGCCGACTGACGACGGAAACGAGAAGCTGTGGTTCAGATACACACCCTCAAAGACAACAGAGGGCGGTACTTACATTCAAGTCAGTCCAATGCAAAAGGCGAACCATAGTGACGGTCAGGTTATGGGTGGCGCACCATCAGGAATGGCGTTGCACGGGTGGTGGAATTTCGGTAGCACCTCTTTACGCAGCTGAATCTGTCCATCAGGATCATTTAAGCATGCATAGCACATTCATGTTTACCTAAAGGGCTGTGGAAAATGACAAATAATTATACCTTGCTCGGCATACGACCGTAACGAATAAGACGTTTCATGCTAGATTAAATTGATTCAGTTTGCGACTTTGAACTTTAAACGGGCTTCGAGGTTCTCACCTATATGCATTACAGATTCATGTGATGCATGATTGTGGGTCACTTTCACTTGCTCTGAAAACTCGGGGTTGTGTTAATCATGGCATTAATTTATAATTCTATGTATATACCAGAACTGGGACTATACGATTATTTGGAGCTAGCACGGCGGCTTTGAACAGCCAAGTGTCAGGCCGTCTCAACTGATGCAATGCTGAATACAAAGCTGCACCCAGTCCTGAACGAAGACAGCTGAGCGCCAACCCCGACACAAATAAGAGCGTTTACGGTCTGTATTATCCACCCTATACACAAGGCCTAGTGACTATGGCGCATGGAAGGTCTGCACCCTACACACATTTCTCCCCACCCGTCCGTCGGAAGGCTGACTCCACCCTCCTGCCAGCCGTATACCCAGGCGCGGTCGGTCTGCACTGCCCCCCGGCGGACCGCGGAGCCCCAATGACCGGCCCTGACACACATGGTACTCCCATCGGCTGCCACTTCCGCGGCGATGACGTCAGCCTCCTGTGACGTCGGGTGACGGGTCAGGCCACGGAGGAGCGACACAAGGGCGGCGGCGGCCCGCGGCCGGCTGTTACGGCCGGGAACGGCGGGGCAGCGGGGCGGAGGAGGCTGCTGCGTCCGGTGGAAACTGCGCCACTGGCCTTCGATATGAGAGAGACACCTGGCACAGGGACTCCACGCGGGACGTGCTACGGGTCAATCCCGATGGATTAGTAGTGGTAAGGTAATTTAAACTGATTTAACGGCTATATGACTAAAAATGTACCAAAAATTACATAGGTAAGGTGCATTATCATTCACTATCTTATTTTACTTTGTAGATTATATTTTAGCTCATAAGTGTGCTGTTAAATATATTTTATGTTATTAAAACTATCTAATATGACACGTATTTCATATAAATGTCTTATTGCATCATTACATAAGAATGTAAAAATAATCATTGCAAGACGCCGCGTGATTTCATGCGCTCAGTCATATCCATGCTTGACCGATATGTGATCCACCTGACCCGCTAAGTCGCTGAAACATTTTAGTCTTCAAATGGCTCGTCTATCTTATCAGCGATCTGCACACAATTGAACTGAGAGGCCCACAGGGTCTCGGCAAATACATGTACTGGCGAGAGTGGAGTGGCCGCCGATAACGCCAGCGGGCGTGGATCAACTCCAACATTCCCCGGCCCGGACGCAGGGGCCCGAGTTTGAATCTGTGGCCTGACTCACGTGATATTTGCACCGCCACGTGGTGTCTTCGTCTATAGAGGAGTTTGACCCCGTTGACCCCTGGTTCTCAACCGTCAGGCACTCGATCAACGGAATAGTACGGCCACAATAAGTGGGCACCAGTAGCCATTAGGTAGGTATCTGGCATCGAAGTAGTCGTAACGTTATTATAAGGAATGAGTGCACATAATTTTGGAAGTGTTTTGTCATATACAGATTAATTCCATAGCTAATTTGAAGACAATGAATTATTTAAACATAATTACATATGTTAGAATATGACAAGGTTACTATGCATTACTACGAAATGGTCTAACTCGTCATTATCGACGTAACGTCAAAATGAAAACGCAAGCAGTCAAGCAGCGAGTAAAATCACGAATTACGTGTGCATTCTATATCACGAGCAAGTGCAGATTAATACCATACGTTAGCAAGATCGTACACTGAAAAAAAAATTTACTCACTTTTCTGAGTAATGACTGAGTTGCCATTTTGTCCAATGGTAAAACTCACTCTAAATCCGCGTACTCAGGTAAAACTCAGGGCGGAACGCAGGTAAAACTCGGGCAAAACTCATTGCAAGTGAGTAGCATGTGAGTAACAAAGTGAGTTGCCATTTTGTCCGATGGTAAAACTCAGATAAAACTCAGTAAGTACTCATGCGTAACTCATGTCCTACTCAGACAACTCAGGCCAAACTCAGGTATTAGTAAGTCATTACTCATGAAAAACTAGGAAGTAACTAACACGTAACTCAGCTGGTACTAATGTATAACTCAGGTGGTAGTACGGCCATAACTCAGTTGGAACTCATCGGTTATTCAGTGAAAACTAGGGCTGTACTCAGGACGCACTCGCATCGATAACTCATACGATACTCGGGCGTTACTCAGGCGCCGCCTGAAACTGCTGATCTGATTCGTTTTATATTGGCTCAAGCCAATGTATAGGCTCGCCGCCCATGATAACAGCTGCCGCATCAGCATTATGCAATATGCATGCATGATGCTGATACAACAGCCACTACCAGGCAGCTAGTCTATATATTGGGATTGGCCAATATATAACGAATCATTGCCCAAAACCAGCATACATATCTGTATTATACCATGCCCGACCAACGTCTAGTCTTGCACTATTCGCCCCAGCCCTTACAAGAAATACATGTTTGTAGAAACGGTCGCATTGCGCTGTATTACAATTCTGACACACGCCAAACTGCGTCGGGGGGGGGGGGGCAGGGGATCGACTCCACGTCAGCTCAGCTTCACTCTTTTGCCAGCTTCTCGACCTCAGTCTTCGCGGCTACAGGTGGCTGGCGCTCAGCATTGAATGGTGTGTGGAGCACATGGATACACACAAACCACAGCGTGTTTCGCACTTTGTGCGCCGTTTGTTGACTGAGCACAAAGTGCGCCGTCGCCCACAGCAAAAGACTCCCTTCCAAACCATGGATCCCCACAAGACTTCCATTCGCTCCACGATGAGGCGGCACCGTTCGTTTTCTTCGGACTTGTTATGATAGGGGTGATCCAAATTTTCGTCACCCGTGTACGCCACCACTGACGCCTTCTCCGCCAAGATGCAGAGGAGGCTCAATGGGTCGTTCCCTGAAAACACAATAAAAAAATCAGATTTTCTTTTGCCAGTAAGAGAAACGGAAGTTATAGGGCATGCAAGTTGATTGAAATATCAAAAGTTATCAAGTTACTTCAGCTCAAAATTAATGTTAAACCGCGCCGTGCTGGTGCTCTGAGTTTACCGTGATGTACTGGGGGGGGGGGAGGGGGTCGTCTTCACGTCCCCTCTTCTAACTCGGCTGTTGGGGTTGGGCCACGTAGCGACACGCAGTAAGCGGCATTCGAAAAAGCATAAAAGATATTTAAGGAAATACTTGGGTAATTTTAAGGTCAAGTCAAGTGCCAGGTCACCAGAGGTCAGGAAAGGCCAAATTTTGCTTATTTCAATATTTTCGAAAAACTGGAGCTTAACTCGGAACCAAAAGAGCTGCCCGCGGAAAAATGCAGTCAAAAGCCCTTTCGACGTTTTTTTTTCTGGCGTTTGATCTCAGATTTGACCTCAGGTCAACAATTAAGCCTCCAGAGAGCAAAAACTCTAAAAAAGCTGTTTTTACCAAAATGTTTTCTGTAATACTTTCCACTCAAGAGTCACGACATTTATTTTGCCGTTAGCATAGTATTCCTCTCGTCGGGACGAATGAACTATAATTAGACCTTGAAAGGCCATTTTTAAAACTTGACCTCAGGTTGACCTGACCAGGTCATGTTGCATATCAGTCGATCCAAACCGTCAAGCTGAACACATATGCGGTGTTTTATTGCACTAGCAAATATATTTTATACATGCCGTAAGGTTGATACTTGGGACATGGGACCAGGGCTGCGCAGTCGGAGTTGGAGTCGGAGTCGGAGTCCGTCGGAGTCGACAGTTGTGACCGGAGTCGGAGTCGGAGTCGATTTTAGAAACCCGAGCCGGAGTCGGAGTCGGAGTCACCGAAAATCGGTCGACTCCGCAGCCCTGCTAGGTCTGCGGAGTCGGAGTCGGGAGTTGGAGACGGTCGGAGTCGACAATTCTGCCCGGAGTCGGAGTCGGAGTCGGAGCTGGTTTTTGAAAGCCGAAGTCGGAGTCGGAGTCGGAGTCGCCGAAAATCCATCGACTCCGCAGCCCTGCATGGGACAGTATCAAAAACGCTATAAAATGAAATCCGTTCGATATTTTTTTTTGACATTTTACCTCAAACTGGTGTGAAATCGAGCGGTGAATTCCCTGAGCGAAAATGACAAAAATATCGAACGGTTTCCATGGCACGTTGCGAACGGTGCGATCGTCAGCGACCATTGAAATTTTTCTGATGTTAAGTCATTTGACGTGACCTGACCTTGAACGACCTGGGTCTAAAATTTCTTCATATGCAGAAAAAATGTATGAGCAGGTGTGCCGAAAATGGTGGCGCTGCGCGCCGCCGTTCTTAGATATTCGCGAAAAACCTGAGGGGGCGGGGGGGGGGGGGCGTAAACGCCACCCAGCACAGCGCGGGTTAAGGTGGGATGGTCACCTTAACAGACGGATTTTAGTCTCGCAAAACACTTCCATGGGCGTCCAATATTAAAATCAGCTTGAAACAATCACATAAAATGTGTTATATTTAACAGTAATGGAAATAATTATGTCACGTCCAAACGCGTCTCGCCGCGGTATCTAATAATCTAATATGTAAGGAAGGTTGAAAATGCTCGCTGAAATCGAATAGTGTACGAAAATATGTGTGTAGGCATTAAAAAAAAACAGTCGGAAAAAATAATAACAGTCGGAAAAATAATAAGCACAAACGAGACAAAAGAATCTTAACCCGCGCGGGGCTGGGGTCTCCAGCCGAACGCGCGGGGCTGGGGGGTAAATTTTACCCCCCCCCCCCCTGTTATCTCCCGAACTAATGGTCGGATTTGGAAAATTCAAACGCCAATCGAAAGATCTCATCACGAACAACTAAAAACATGTACTTAATTTTAAGTTTGAGGTCAAGGTCAAGGTCAGGTCAAGGGTACAAATTGCAAGTTCCTATAGTTCCTACAGTATCGGCCTTGCACCGTAGTTGCCGAAGAATGGAGTCATGGACTGAGACTGATCGCCCAAAACGTGTTCTTAGGCTACCAAGACAATATTCGTTGCATACAATATCATTCAGAGGTCAAGGTCAAGGTCAGGTCAGGTCAGGTCAGGTCACCAAAAACAAAATATAGAAAAGGGCATGTGCGACACATGTTTTATAGGTCATTTTACTCATAGAATTCAATAGGCATACTCAATAAGTGATATGGACCACCTCTGGATGAATTTCAGGTCGAGGTTAGGTCAAGGTCAGGTCAAGTGAGGTCAAATTTTGAAGTTGGTTGTTAAGGCCTAAAAAGGTGTCTATCTGATGCAGTTTTTCACGGCGAATCGAATGGTGCTACTTTTGTTTCCGTACGAGGTCTAGAACTTCCAAAAAAGTCATTTTTTTCAAAAATTTTGTGTGTCGTGACGGCATACAATTTTGAATAACTCCCACATTTTTGAACCGATTCTTCTAAAAATTGGTATGTAGGTGCACATAGACCACTTCTCTGACATATATTCCGGTTTATTTGATACGCTCAAAATTTTGGATTTTATAGCTATTTTCCCAAAAAAGTCAGTTTTTTGAAAAAATTTGGGCCAAAATCCAAAATTTTCAAAAAACCGAGATAGCCATTTGATAGACAAAATAAAATTACGTATATCCTTTTTTGTTACGTCTTGATTCCTTTAAAAATGAAGATGTTAGCGGCGTTTGAACTTTTGCCGTTTTTGAGGCGAAAATGGCGAACATGACGTCACTAAAACGTCAATTTCTCAAAAAAATTCTGACGGATTTCGCTCAAATTTTCAGGGAACGTGTCATATTGATGTAAGAAAAGGTACTGAAAGTTTGGCGGCGCTGCGCGCCGCCGTTTTTGAGATATTGCAAAAATTCGCGAGGGGGGGGGGGTAAAATTTACCCCCCCAGCCCCGCGCGGGTTAAACGGTTCAGCGAGCGGACTTAAGACCATGGGCTCCACCACCGGGGGGGGGGGGGAAGGGTACGGGGGATGTGTCCCCCAATATTTTACATTTTTAACATTGTGCCTATGGGTGCTGCATGGAAAGAATCGACTTCAAACAACCTTCGCCCCCCCCCCCCAAAAAAAAAACATCGGGTCGTGACGGAGTTCTTGTTTAAAGAAGTAAAACGGGTCAAATGAACGTTCTTTTAGGATAAGGACAACATTATCCCACAAACATGTTTTTTTTATTTAAATATAACATAACTCACCTCTTCTTTTTCGAACTATGCCGGGTAGGTATCCCTCAGTTTCTCGATCGATCTGCTCCGCCGTTCACGGTTGGCACCGACCTCCTGACGCCGGCGGGGAATGTCTGCTGGTCCATCAGTTCACCTCCCTGTTCTCCGTGGCGCATGCGATTGATAAAAGCTTCATCGACAATCACCGAGCTCTTCACAGATAACTTACCCGTCCCATCCTTCGCTGCACGCCTTCCCCGCTCCTGCACTCTCCTGCACAATTTCACAATAGCCTCAACAATTCAACGTGAACTACGCGAGTCACCGCGCCACAACGGACTGAAGCGCGCGCCGCGGTTTTCGAACGCAACGGCTATAATACTCATCACGCGAACTCACGCATCACGCAGGAAACTCACCCTGCCGCGCATGCGCGCATCTTCAAGCGGGGGGTACCTCACGCACAACTGCACGTGAATTCGCGAGAACTCATGCATTGCGCAGGAAACTAGATTTGCCCAAGCAAAACTCATTTCCGACTCAGTTCGGGTTCGAATTCACGAAACTAAGCACTCAGAACTCACGCATAACGAAGTCACCCTGGTGATGTGAGTTAGATCAGCCAATAAGTGAGCACCACTATCGTATTCACTGAGTTTCTTCATGAGTTATTACTGAGTAATGCCTGGCCTGAGTAAAAAAAATTTTCAGTGTATAGAATATGCATAGGGGCAGTAGTCTGAGTCGGTCAATCGCACACGGTATCACTATACTCCTACTCCCACTCAAATATATAATTGTGTAGCTAAGAGGGTGGTGCCATTCACTTACGTGTGATGGAGAGGCCGGTGAACAGGCTGAGGATGACGCAGGCGAACGTCGTCAGACGCTGAAAACACATACCATAGTTACGACATGTCACAAAGGTCGAACTGAGAAAGAGAGAGAGAGAGAGAGAGAGAGAGAGAGAGAGAGAGAGAGAGAGAGAGAGAGAGAGAGAGAGAGAGAGAGAGAGAGAGAGAGCGAGAGATATGGAGAGGGAGAGAGAGAGATATGGAGAGGGAGAGGGAGGATAGAAAGAAAGGGGGAGGTGAGTGGGTGAAAGAGAGAGCGAGAGAGAGGGGGAGAGAGAGGAAGAGACAGATAAGGAGAGAGAGGGAGGGAGGGAGGGAGGGAGGAAGCGAGAGAGGTAAAAGAGGTGCAGGCAGGAAAAAGAGGGAAAGAGAGGAAAGATAACTAATGACAGGAAATATGATTAGGTCTTTGAATGTGCCTATCACACTCGAAACTCGAAAGTCATCTTTTACGAATCATCCTTGACGGTAATACCTATTTGAAAACTCATCCAGTCTAACGACAAGCGAGGGAGGTGCAATAAGCTCGTAAATTAAATAGAAAGAACGTTATATTTGCCGAAACATCTCATCAAAGGTCATGAAAGTTTTAGGACGGATCGTGGAGATTTTACTGTATCATTTACCAAAATGTACCCCTATTATAAAGCGGACGTAGGCCTACTGACGTTGCGATAGCGTTGTGTAAAAAGTTTAATCTACGGCGTAAAGTGGTACGCAAAACAATAACCTATACGCACTATGTAATATGATAATAGAATTAAATTTCTACGGGATTAAAGGGACCCTCCCACCTTCAAAAAAGTTAATGAATTGGCACGAAAGTGATGTCGCTCGGTTCAGAAAGAGCGAAAACGAATATCTACCAAATTTCATCGAAAAATATTCACCGGTTTTCAAGATATTAGACTTTTACTTTTGTTTACTTTTTGGGATCCCCGCTGTTCCTAGCGACTTTATTTGAAAGTGCGGCATTTGTTGCGCGCAAAGGAGCATATACCACCGCGTGCTACCAAACGTTTTAGTAAAAGATTTAAAAATCGTTAGATCTCCGCTGACGTCACAAATTCTAAGGGGGCATACCAATGCACTAGCCCCTTAGAATCCGAAACTGCAAGTTTGAAATTCCATATCTCCGAATTAAAGCATTTGTCGATGTTGTGAGTGCCCAAACCGGTATTTGCAGGCCATGGCCACCAATTTGGCTATCTCAACTCAAAACTAATGTTAAGGTGGGAGTGTCCCTTTAAAACGTCTCTTCGATTAAATACCGAGTTTGTTAACAACAAAAAGCATCTGCTTTTTCTTAACAAAGGATAACAAAGCGCATCTTCAGGTATGAAGCCTAGCGTGACAATTTAGGTAACGTTATATCTATGGGCTAGGGCAACTGACAAAGATGACACAATTCGTATTTAAAACGAAAAAAACACATATAAGAGATTTAAAGCACTTGTAAAACGGTCACAAAGAATTATTGCATGCTGACCATAACCTCCAATTGACCGTTCCACTCGCAGAAATTATTGGCTTTTTCACCTTGGTGATATTACCTTTGGGTTGATCTTTTTAAGGCCATGGATTTCAACAAAAAAGATAGAAAGATAAAATATCATGTCCTAGCTGCTCACGGACAGTTTTTTTTTCTCGCGAATACTCAAACCGTGATATTTGACATGCCTCATAACTGACCAATAAATCAATTTACATATTTCTAAAACAGCTGTATCTTTAGGTCAGATGAGAGCAGGTGAACTTCGATATCATATTCAAAATTCAACATGGTCCAAAGACCAAAACTGTCACAGCTTCGCAGAGCTATCAGAGGTTTACCTATAAAGACACGCCTAAAGGGAACGTTTTGCAGAGAGGTGAAACGTTCAACAAGTGACAGGCTTTGGAGTCCTCATAAGCACCTTGCATATGCATTATGCATAATGTATAGGTGCCTTAGATGTTTCATGGGGGTCTCGAATCGGTCATATGACTATTATAATTAATGGGATTATGGTAATGCGAAAGCTGCTTATTATATAACTGTTGGCAATGATCTAATGTTATCTTGAACACCTGGAACCGTAATATATCGTATCGTCCTTACAAGGTTCAATGTTTCGTTTGTTTTTTATTTTCCGAGGTTGCATGTTGTCATGTAGGTATGCCGTCACTGAGGTCATCTGAGGTCATCGGAGATTTCCATTAATTATTCGCAAGCTAGAATGTCGAAAAATACACCAAACAAGCTCAACATAAGCTGCAAATAGCCGTTTTCACGACGGCCATCTGATACACATTTGGTACACATCTGGTGCAGATCAGGTGCAGATTTGGTCAAATCAGGTTCAGTGCATCTCTTAGTAGCTATCAGCTAGAATTGCACTAACTGCTTATATGCCTGCTTTGTCATATTATCAGAGAGCATCAGCGATTAAAACACTGAAATAATTCATAAAATAAAGATATTTGCTGTAAAAGAGATTAGGTGCAGATTTGGTCAAATCAGGTGCACTCGCCGGAAAGCCCGTCGTGAAAACGGCTAATATCTAGCCCAACCAATCAGCTTCCCGGCCTGACATGGGCTTTCACTCAAACTTGACATGAGGTACACAGTAACACACAAAGTAACCGTTTGAAACTAATAATATGTCCATTGATGTGCCTGAATTTAACAAACGCTATACCTACCTATTGTGGAAATCGCTCCTTTGTGTCTATTGTTGTCGAAGTTATTTGCCTAAAACCGAGTCTTCGTCTACTGTTTAAAGGAAGTGTGCCACCTTTGAAAGATTTCCCATTTTATTTTTCCTAGGATAAGAAGCTTCTGGTTTTACCTAATATCGCAAAAAAAAATCAAAAATGGGCCTGGAATAGTGCCTTTTTCGCCTAAAAGTTTTTCGGTTTTTAGATATGTATAACAACTGTAGTGGGCTCACCTGCAAACAGGCGTCGGGCAACAATCGCGAATGCGGCGCACTTGTGACAATAAGCAAAGGTCATTATAGTGTTACGACCATACGACGTACGGGAATGAGTTATCAGCTGTCTAATCGTAGACAACACAATGTCGAGCCTTAAACTGTAAGCCCGTATTGTATTGTTTCTTTTATTTGGCTGTCGAACATTATTTATGGTTTGAAATATGATTTTATGTAAAATAATTGATATGAAAAAGCCGTCTTATAAGTTATGACCCCATTTCACCACACGCAAGTGGCAGAAATGACAATGATCAGCTGACGCATTTTTCTTGGCCGAAGTCAGAGCGCGCGGCCCGACGCACCACGCGTATTTGGAAATTCCGACCTCGACGAGCATCAGAAGCCACCTAACAGGCGTGTTCGAAACCGCAGGAGATGATGATGAACGGGTTTATCGAAACTTGATTGGATGAGCATATCGGTAATAGCGATTTCAGTGTGTGCATTTATTGTTCATAGTGGTGTGAAATGTGGTTGGGGTACGACCGACAACCCGTCGGGGCGAATTTCGCACTGGGGTACTCAAAATTTGAAGAATTTAAGACGTTTCCATGAGTTTTGAAGGTATGGATAAGTTCTAAAAATCCGGTTCTCCTTATCTGGGCCATTAACTCCATACGGTCCAAGAAAGCTGGCACACTACCTTTAAGCGAAGATTCAGCTAAATGGGAGACAGAGCGGGGAGCGGTGACCTATCTACCGCCTCCTGAACCAGGCGAATTTCGTCCTACAATGTCAAACAATCGACCACCGATGAGCTCCGATGACCAGGCTATCTACCTGTCCTAACCCTCTCCGGACCTACCGGCCTTCTATACCTACGCTCTGGCCGAGGGGGCCGATGAAACCCCTCGCCGTTTCCCTTAATTGAGGTATGAGGGCCTTGCGAAAAAAGACGAGCGTATGTGCCATTACGAGACGCTGCGACTGGTACCGGATTTGAAGGTCTCAGTTCAGCCGGTGGCCTTTGATGTCACGTCAACATACCTGACAATGACACTCTTCCTATATCAATGACATCTACATACGACATCTCCTTGCCACTCTCACTCTCAGTCTCACATCTTTGACACTTAGTTACGTCTTAATCAGCCTACTAGCCGGACCTCACCTGGCTGCGGACGCCGGGAAAGATGAGCAGGAAGGCGACCAGCACCGTCAGGAACACGATCGAGATGAGAATCATGGCCATGTCGCCGTGCACAGACGTACGGTTATTCTGAGTGTACAGGGTCGGCCCGCCATCGGCGCGGAACGCGTCGAACCAGCCCTTCATGTTGGGGGTTTGTCGAGGCGCCGGTGATAAGTCTGCGAAGACGAGCAGGGCATGGGTCAGTTTGATGCATACATCTCCATGCATTGACAATCATCCAAGTAACTTCAAAGACAAATGCATACCTACCTAGTAATGCGATATTGCATCAATCAATAGACATTGCACAGTACACACCAGTTCCAACAGAGATATAGCGGAACTAAGCTCTCGCTGTTGCTCGCAGCTACTCACCTACGTAGACGGTTCACTGCGGCTCGGGTCGACTCGGTCTCACACCACTGCTCTGGGCGGCGGTACACCCGGTCACACCTGCTCCAGTAAACTGATGTTCCTCAGCGTGCTGCCGCACCGTCAGCGGAGGGCGGAGTCGGCAGCTCGACCCTGGTCGTAGCCGGCGGGTTCCGGGGCCGGCGCCGACCGCCAAGGTCCCCTGCCTTCCGCACCACCGCCGCAGCGCCCGGAACCGCCGTAATGGAGCCATGTATACGGCCGGAGTAAGTGCCTCTCAGCGCCCGTGACCGGCGCCAGTGACCTTGCCCCCGCCCTGACCGGCCGGGCCTGGGTCCCGGATCGCAGCGCTGCAGACGGCGGCACCCTCATCCAGAGACGGGTGGGAAGCGAAATTACCGGCCAGTCTGATATCCGAATTGGCCTTGGATCGATTGCACCGTCGTGCTCGGCAAACTTGTGCTGATGATATTTACGGCCTGTGTAATAATATCCTCCGTCAGATCGTGCGACATAGATTAAATCAATGCTATCATAAAATAAACGGGCATTCAGGCATACAATATCCGCGTTTCAGTCGCGGAAGGTTGAATCAAGCAATCAACAGAGCAATCTAGAATAGCCAAATGGTATATGCATTTTTAGACTATGCTAACAACAAAAATAAAAAAGGATAAACAATTAACATAATCATATATAGAAGCAGCTTTATTAGAAAACCAGTCAAAATGCTTCAGCTAAGAGTAAAGTGCATAGGTGAGGTCTGACCTGAGCAGGTATGATGGCCATTGCCGTAGCTATAAGAGCGATTGGTTATCAATTTTCAATAGAAATAAAAACAACTCAAAATGCAATAGAAAAAACGGAATTCTAACGAATAATGTGGGTCTATTACAAAGAACCTGCGGTTAAGTTAAGGAGCAAAAGGCGAATGCGGATCGAACGAAACACAGACTGCTCTAAATTAGACGTGTGGATTTATAACTTTTTACTAATCGCAAAAACGAAAGTAGCTATATTTTTATGCCTGCGTGAGGCCAGCAACATTCGTTTGTGCTTTGAAACTCCAACACTGTTAATCGTGTTCCTCAACAAACACAGCAGCCGTACCCTGTCCTCCCGCACACACATCGCACATGACACAATCATAAGCCAGAGTCGCTCCCGACACGGCTCGGTGGTCCTCCGGCCGTCCCTCCGGCCGCGTCGACCACCGGACGTCCGGCCCCAGCAGCCGGTCTATCTGTCTCCATCCGGCCACGGCCTGTCGACTTCCTTCCTGGCCGGCTGGCAGCGCGTGCGACCCGTCGCGGCCCCGTCTCAGTCAGGCCGTGACATTGGGCCGACACTGGGTGCCCGCGGGGCTCGCGGCGCGCGCGGCGGGCGATCCTGACTGCGACTGCAGGAACTGGGTCAAGTTCGCTCCCACACGCTCCGCGTCGGCCGCGGGGCGCCGTCGGAAGGTAGGTATGCATTCGCGCACTGTGGATAACGTGTGAGCGGCGATGAGGAAGGTCGGGGTATCCTGTGATCTATGTCACTGGAATGGAGGGGAGGGAAGGCAGGCAGTCGGAACAGCAGTTACCGACGCACGCATTTTCAGTCTGTTAGGCGGCAGAGAGGGACTACTCGTAAAAGCAACTGTGATGAAGCACTCTGTCGGTGACGCGAAGGTCGGCCCTGTGCCCCTGGCTGAGGTCAGTGATTCATTGAACTGAGCAGCGGCTCAAGGATGTCTGCTAGACCCCGAGCTATGTGTTCCGATTCATCTACAGCGCGCAGAGATGAACAAACTAAAGTCGATCGTTAGAGACGGGCAAGTCAAGATCTGCGTCGTCACAAAAGTCATATCAGCTCTCACTTGACTCAAATCTTGTTATTAAGTTATCAGTTATCACGCTTTTTAGGTCACGGCTGACACGAGTTGTCCTCTAGAATACCTAGACGTTACATTATCAGATATCATTTCCTTTGTCTCCAGATGTCTAAGACTTTAGTTATTAACGCACTTTTTATTCCAATATACTACATGCCTATCTGCATTAGGTATGTGACTTAATTGCAAGCTTCTAGCTACAACTCCCTCCATCAAGGGAAAGGCGAGACGTTTTAATTTGCGTTTTATTTTTTTGCATCATCCAATAAATCAATGCTCATACCTTCATGGTCTTCATGGTCGGAGTTCTTAAAATGCAGAATAAGTTAAACAAATAGTTATAAGAATATCTTCAATGTAAGAGCCCGTTGCCTTTGCTCATACTCAGCAGCGATTCGTCGTCGCAAGGCCGAAAGTTTGCAAAAACGAAACAAACACTGTGCTGGGGCAAACACGACAGCAAAAGGAAGTGGGCAGCTCACACTTTCGCTCGAAGTAGAACAGTTTGCCAGCACCGTCGTCCGTCGTATCGATGTCGAGTTGACTCATCATGACCTACCTAACCATGCCAGAATCGCTTAGCACTGAGCCACATAGTCGATCGACGTCGACTCAGGGTGACTGATATTGAGTCAGATATTATGACCGTTTGCCCACTTATAATGCTGAGTCCGTAACTCGGCACTGAGCCCGAGTTGAGCTGGGGTGATAAAGCCACGGCAGCTCTCATTTCCGTTTACGATCCGCTCGGAGCCATCAGCCCTCACAGCCGTCTCTCTCCTCTCTCTCTCTCTCTCTCTCTCTCTCTCTCTCTCTCTCTCTCTCTCTCTCTCTCTCTCTCTCTCTCTCTCTCTCTCTCTCTCTCTCTCTCTCTCTCTCTCCTCTCTCTCTCTTCTCTCTCTCTCTCTCTCTCTCTCTCTCTCTCTCTCTCTCTCTCTCTCTCTCTCTCTCTCTCTCTCTCTCTCTCTCTCCCTCTCTCTTTCTCTCTGCCGAATATGGCGGAATTGCAGAGACATGGCAAGGTCAGACCATCCGACGGCGGCAAGGGTCACGGAACGCATTATGTGGGGGAACGTCTTATGTTGGGGGGACGTCTCATGAGTCTCGCTCAGCTGCCCACACTGTCGGTCGTTCTACTTAAGATGGCGAGCCCTGAAGCTCCACTGTGCGGCCAGCTACATTCCCATGGTTGACATACCTACTTCAGCAGTACATTCTTTGAGAATGATTTCGTCCCTGTTAGGCTAGTATTACTGAAATGTCTTATGTATCATCTAGCGGTCACATGTGATTGAGTATTGGTCAGAACTCATGGAAAGGTATGGACGGTAATAGCTAAAAGACCCATGTGTGATTCCTGTGAACTTATCTAATGCAGCGAGAAAGCCTGTTGGACTCATTTCGAATCGACCTGGTGTACTGGGTCGGTCAAATGTTTGAACACCGAGATATCTAAATCCACAGGTCACGCCTTGTACTTTGCCCATGTGAGGCGAGTCGCTTCGGAGCGTCTTGCCTCTAAAGGGAGACGTCTCACTTGCGTCGAGAATGGATCCCATGCGTACGACGCCTGAGAGTTGACGCAATGCTGAAAAGCACTGACACAGGGACAGCAGAGAACCAACTCTTCGACTGAAAAGCGGACACGGTGCCCCAGGGACGGGGCCCCGGTCCGAGGCACGGGTCCCATGTCTGGGTCACGGGACCGTGTCCGGAGCACAGGGTCCATGTCTGGGTCCCAAGTCCGGGGTTCGAGGCCCATGTCCGGAGCACAGGGTCCATGTCCGGGTTCCACGTCCGGTGTACGGGGTCCCCGTCCGTTGTACGGGGCCCCACTCCGGGGCGCCGGGCGTCGCCGGGCCACGTGTGGACCGGCGCGTCGACCCGCTATCGGACGGCGTCGCCGGCCGCCGTCGCTATCTGTTTGCTCGGCTCGCTGCCGGGGCCGATAGCCTGCCGCGAGGACCGATAGGGAGCTGACGAGGTGCGGCCGACGGCCCCCGTCGGCACCAGTCGAACAGCAGGAGCCGAACCCGCCGCCAGCAGCCTCCTCTTCTCTCCAGCAGCCGCTGACTCGCCGTCTTGTTTCAGGTCAGACGCCTCCGGTGAGATAGGACTCCGAGGGGCGCCGCTGCCACAGCCGTCTTCAGGGCCGACCACTGCAGCATCGAACCAGCCAGAGCAGCCGCTAGGAGGAGACTTCGCGGCTTCTGAGAACAAGGAGCGCCGTCGGCACCGACTGCAGGTCCTCTACCAGCCGCCGGTCGGTCCTCTCAGCTGGAGGCGAGAGGTCTTCGGCAGTTTCGATGCCAGATCTAACTCTTCCAGCTGAGAGGGCCGGCCGTTCCAGCGCATCACTGCGGTCACCGAGGTCAGAGGACAGAGAGGCAGACACAGCGGCGCCGCAGACAGGTGGAGGGGCCGTCTCTCACTCTAATACGACCAGTGAGATTCAACTCCTCCATCTGACCTGCCGCGCCTTATCCACGTCTGCCCCAATAACGGCCGCCGTCTGCCACGCCATTGTAAAACGTCGTCTCACAGTGTCAATCCGCGCTGTCTGCTGCTTCGCCGTCAGTTGTTTTTAATGTGTTGTTTCTCTCGTCATTACGCTGTCAACATTTGAACATTATAATGTCCGTCTCCGAACCCAACTCTTGTCCCAGACCGCCTGCCTCTCCAGTCTCCGTTCCGTCACCGTGGCCCCTCCGCCGAACTATCGGTGGATGACGGCATACATCTTGGGTTGGCCCCTGCGCACACTGGCTCGTGTTTCTGCGCCGGACACGCGGTCTTATCTGTCCCTCTGTTCCTGTGACGACGACTGCTAGTTTAGCAGAGTCATGGCTGAGCACTGAGCAGCTGTGGTGGTGGTGACGAAACCAATATACGCGGAACCCGACTGTGTGTGTGTGTTTCACATGGGTCAAAGTTCCGGGAAGCACTGCGTACTGTAGATAACACGGAATCCGCTGTTTTGACGCTGTTTTGAAGCATCGTACGCAGCGCACACGCTTGGTTTCACACAATGAAGGATCGTGTGAGATGGTTTTGAACACTACTTTGCAATTGAAACACATGTATTGTCGTAAATCACTACACAAGCGAGTGGAGCCCTTTGTTAGGCTTACGTACACCTTATTACCTGTATAAATACGTACACTTTTAGACGGTCAAATGTATTTAGCAACACATGCATATTATTACTGTCAACAATAAAATTTCCTTTAGTTTATAGAGGGTAGGTATGGATATAAAAATAAGCGTGAAAACCGAGCGGAGAGGTGGCGGTCGTTTTACATTTTGTCTAAAGCCTAGAAATTACATACGCCCAGAGTCGCAAAATTGCAAAAACTTTTTGTCCTGAGT